TTAAAATATTTCACATTGGTTTTTCTAATCTTGCCTTTCTGCGTCAGATGGTGAATACGACACCAGTTATAATCTCTTCCAACCTCTTCTGCCAAGTGGAAGATACAAAAGCTTAAACACACTTAACAACAGGTTCAAGAACAGCTTCTCCCTCGCTGTTATTAAACATCTGAATGGACCTCTCAAATTTCAAATCTAATGTTGATCTTGTTTAATGTGTACTTTCTTTGCAGCCATAACTATGCATTCCTCCTCTGTTTGATTGCCTATTGTCTTTGTATGGTTTGGTCTGCCTGTACTGCGTGCAAAACAAAACTTTTCACTGTCCCTACGCACACGTGACAATAATAAATCAAATTAGAATCAAAAAGGTGACCGAATCTCCAGAAATTTAGAAAGCATTGGTCAATATCACCACTGGAGACATATCACCTGTATCTTGCCCAATTCCAGTTGGCACAATAGCACCAAACCTTTTGTCATTTAATCTCTCCAGATCACAAGAACTTCCCTTTGGCTCTTCAACCTCTCAATCTCCCACTTTTCACTTCAAGCTTGTTACAAACTCTAACCTTAACCCTGTTCTGAGGAAGAGTCCCAGACCAGGCACTTGGTTTCTCTGTCCAGTGATGCTGCCAGACCTGCTGAGTATCTGCAGTACATTCTGCTCCTTTGCTCTAGTTGCAGAACACGGCAGTTTGAGAATGAAGGCTCCCTCTGGGAGAAAAACGACGAGGTTAATTTTGACCTTTCAATACGGTCCTGTGAAATGTCACTCGAATACAATCGAGTGGTGACCGCTCGGATCCCAGTAAGGGATAAGATTCCTGTGCAATCGCCACTATCCAGAGACAGGACGTGTTGGAATGGAGAGTAAATCGACCCCTTGGAGCTATACAGCTGCTGTTCGAACTAACCAGTGGAAAGAACCGTTCGAATCGCTTGCCCCTGGGTGTGGAGTAATGGGAATCGAAGACCGGCGCTAAATTCCCGTGGAGTCATTGAGACCTTGGTGTGTGTGTGGGATGGGGGGAGGCGCTCCCACTCTTAGTCACATTTCGTTCTTAGCTCCACCCTTGGATAGAGTTTCCCAGAGCCCAAAGGGGAGATGGCTGAGCGTCCGTTTCGCTGCCAAACAGCTCCAGCTTTTCTGAGCCTCTGAGCTGGGCTTGGAGGGGAGTCCGGGTGCTTACCCTCGGTATAAGTCCTGCAGCAATGAGCCGGGCCACTTTCTTCGAGGTAAGAGGGTTAACCACTAAGATAGCAAGAGACCTGCACCAGAGAATCTTTGCTTAGATCCATGTAAACATTTATTGCTGCGGAAACACGGTGTAGAAAATTTCTGAAGGGTCTCGACCCGAAACGTCAGCTTTCCGGCTGCTCTGGTGCTGCTTGGCCTGCTGTGTTCATCCAGCTCTACACCTTGTTATCACAGATTCTCCAGCATCGGCAGTTCCTACTATATCTCTTGCTGAGGAATCGGTTTTCGCGGTGTAGCTGAAAGTAATGTAAATCTTGGTGCTCTGCCAGACCCAAGTTAGAATTGTTTGCTGCTATATTGAATGACAAAGGCGTGCAAAAAGTCAAAATAAAGTGAGCCACAGCATTTTATATCTGTTTGGAGCGTGGTCAATGTTGTTCTCATTCAGAAAGTGCAATTGCTCGTGCTATTAATGGGTGTCAATATTTGTGTAAGTGTGGATGCAGTAATTCTGGTTCTTTCGCAGTTACTCATCCTGAATTGCACTGAAAACTTTTGTGATGTGAAAGGGGCTGATACTGGGGACGGTGGGTTTTAGGTTGTGTTGTTAACTGGAGTGATGCACTCGTGGCCGATGTGCAGAGATACTCGCTAACGCCAAGGGCATTCATTGGTTTTTCTTTGCACCATGAGATTCCCAGAAAATTGGATTTGGGGCGAGGGAAGCAGCATTACAGCAGAAGAATTGGGAGCAGGAGAAAGCCATTCGGCCCCCCAGCCTTCTTCGTCATTCAATAAGATCATGGTTCGACTAATTATACCTCAAATCCCCTTTCCTGCCATTCTCCATGACCTTCCACTCCCCCGTAGTTCCAAAATCTGCCTAATTTATCCTTAAATATATTCAGTGAATGGGCTTCATATTCAGCAACTTCCACTGCTTTTTAGGGGTAAAAAATTCCAAAATATCATCACCTTCTGAGTGAAATCTTAAGTAGATGTGCCCCTTTTTTCTGAAAGTTTCTCGATTTTCCCTTGGTTCTAGATTCCCCATGAGGGGTAATATCCTCTTAACATGTATTCTGTCAAGCCCCATCAGAACCTTTTTTGGTCCCGTTGAATTGAATCGTAGAATGGCTACGGCAGAGTAGGAGGCCATTTGGCTCATCACGTGTCCTCACTCTGAAAGTGCAATTCACCCATTGCCCCTCCTTCATAGTCCTGTACACTTCTTCACTTTGGATAACAATCCACATTGGCAGATAATGCATCCCAAATCCTAATCACTTGCTGCTTAAGGTACTTAGAGTCGTAGTCATAGAAGTCTACAACACAGAGAAAGTCCCATTGTGTCCATGCCTGTCTAAAACAACCACCTAACTATTCTAATCTTGGCCCATAAACTCATATTCCTCGGCATTGCACCTCTAAATACTTCTGAAATGTTATGGGGGTTTCTGCCTTGACTGCCCTTACAGGCAGTGAGTTCTAGATTCCCACCACTGTCTGGATGAAAAAGTTTTCCCTAGCATCCCCTCTAAACCTTCTGCTCCTCTTGTTCCTCAAGTTGCCTTTGATTCTTTTGCCATTCGCTCTAAATCGGTTCATGACCCTTCTATAAGTAAGAAGTTTCTCCCCATCAGCTCTGTCCAGACCCCACATGATTTTGAAACTCTCCAGCAAATTTCCTCTGCTCCAATCTCTCTTGGAGGACAACAACCCAACTTTCCAATCCATCTTGTAGCTGAGGTTCCTCATTCCTGGAGCCATCACCTGAATTTTTTTTTGTATCTCTTAACTGCCTTCACATCTTTCCATGTCAAAGTGTGATGCTTAGATCTGGTCACAATACACCAGTTCAGGCTGAACCAGGATTTTAAACAGGTTTATCACTCTTCTTTATTTTTGGACTCTAAACCATTATTTGTAAAGTCCAGGATTCTGTTTATTTCATCAACTGACATATGCACATATCACCACAGGGCTCTCTGCCCTGGCACCTCCTTTAGAATTGTATCTTCCTATCAAAATGAATCATTTCAGATGTCACTTCTCATTTTTCTAAATTCCATTGATTATAGGCCCAACTTCCTCAATTTTAACTCATAAGACAATCCATTCAATCCATGAACCTGTGAACTTTCTATGAACTGCCGCCAATGCAAATGAAACCCCCCTTTAAATAAGGAGACCAAAACTGTACACAGGATTGCATTTTAACTGTCAGCAAAACATTCAAGATTGAATTACAGTGTATGACTCTAATTTGGACTTTAGACAAAATATAAAATTAATTCCAATCGCTATCTCGCATATCCTAATTTTACAAGCGAAATATGTATGTTTTTGTAAAATATATTGACGGGTGTGCATTTTTGGGAGTTACATAACTTGGGAGGGGATGGCTCAGTGGTATTATCACTAGACCTATTAATCCAGAGACCCAGAAAATGTTCTGGATGCCTGGGTTCAAATCTTGCCCTGGCAGATGGTGGAATTTAATCTCAACTAAAATCTGGATGACCATGAAAACGATTGATTAAATATTGGGTAAAATCCCATCATCAGTTCACTAATGTCCTTTTAGGGAAGGAAACTGTCATTCCTACCTCGTCTGGCCAATATGAGACACGAGAATCTCTGGGCAATGAATGCTGGCCTTGTCAGCAATACCCACATCCTGTGAATACACTTTAAAAAAGACACTTACTGATGCTGGTGGATTGTAAAATTGATAGCTTATAAGTTTATAATATTTTACTTGGTGAACAAATCTAAAACTGTCTTAAGATGGATTTTGAGTCTTTTTCTTCACCACGAGTGTAAGATGTTTAACACCTTTGTCCTAAAACAAACAATTTGTCATAGATGAGTGAAAACAAAAAAATATTGAAAATCATAGCATGTCAGGCAGCATCCGTGGAGAGACAGCAAACCAACTTTTCAAATCCAGATGACTCTTCATTAGATCAATTAGATAATCTATATTCTTCCATAATTTATGAAAACATCAATGAAATCACTCCTTAACCTACCAAGCAAGCAGACCAGGAATATAAATGTTTCTTCTTGTACTTTAACATTACAAAATGAATCCAAGAATCATTCTATTCTTTTTAGGCCAAAGCAGGTGAAGACATTTTCCTAAATTAAAATTCACAATATACACATATTTTCTTTTTTATTTCATGGGATTTGGACATCACTGACATAGCCCCCATTTATTGCCCAATCCTAAGTTCCCTTGAACTGGTGACTTGCTAGGCCATTTTAGTGGGCAGTTAAGAATCAATGACATTCCTGTGGATCTGGAGTCACATGTAGGCCAGAATAGATGAGATGGCAGATTTCCTTCCCCGAAGGGATTGCAGTAATGATGACTGGGAAACTAGCTTTCAATTCCGGATTTTATCCATTAATGTAAACCCCAGAAGTTGGCGTGGTGGAATTTGAACCCATGTCTCCAGAACATTAACCCAGGCCGCTGGGTTATTAGTCCACTGAAATTTCTATCATGCCATTGTCTTCCCTACTGAGCTGCCTCTATATTGCCTTCTAAAGTAGGCACAGCATCAGTACCTGAGATGATGGCAGCAGGTGTTAGATCAAGTGACAAGGTTTCCCTCTCATGAAATTCTGATTCCTGTTGGAACAAGTCCTACATCAGTCCTTCACCAGTTGCCAATTCTTGGTTAAAGCAAAAAGTGCACATTTACACCATCTGCAGCTTGTAACTCAGGGAAAAAAGTAGTGGGGTGATGGAGAAGCAGGATTTGAGAAGACTAGTTGGAATGAGGATGCTGCTACCTTCTATAATTTCTGCCCCATCACTGGTCTCCATTCTGGCTGCTCCAATGATGGAGAGAACTGTCTACTGTATTGGTGTGAGGACATACAACCATGCCTGGCCCTTCAGGTGTTGCTGCCTCCAGTTTTATAGGACATTTTTCTGTTTGAGAGAGGCAGAGAAAAGTCTATCAATCAGTTTGCAATGTATTTGGGTGATGTATCTATCATACATGAATATATATCAGTGTGGACAAACTGAAACAAGTGAGTTGCAGCCATACTGAGTGTATGAGGATGAGGTGATGCTGTGACTGAGAGGTGTGAGTCATGCTTGATAGAGAACATCAGTAAATGAGTGAAGGGGGTATACTGAATGGGACATTGCATGAGGATAATAATTCATTCACCAACCTTAACCACTCATGAGTCATTAAACTTCTTCCTGCGATGTGTTCAGGTTCATGGCGCCAGAATACTGGCATTGAATGCAACAGCAAGCCACTCTCACTGCCTTATCAGTGTCTGTCTGGACAGTTTTCCTTGTTCCTTGAGGAAGAGGGCCTCGCCTGTGCAAAAGTCTCCAGTGCTGTGTTGCACAACTTTGGAGCATGGTTTCCACTGTGTTCTCCCATTTAGAACATTGAACAAAAGAGCCCTTCAGCCCACTATGTCTGTGCTGATCATGATACCATCCTAAACTAATCCCATCTTCCTGCACGTGGTCCACGTCACTCTACTGTCTGCCTGTGTCTGTCTAAATGCCTCTTAAATGTTGCTAACGTATCAGCTTCTATCACTTCCCCTGGCAACACATTCCAGGCAGCTACCACCCTGTGTGTAAAAATGTTTTCCTTGCACATCTCCCGTAAATGTCTCCCCTCTTCCTGGTATTTGACATTTCCACCCTAGGAAAAAGACTTTGACTATCCTCGTTATTCGTGCCTCTCATGATTTTACATACTTCTGTCAGGTTGCCCCTCAGCCTCCAATGTAGTAGCAAAAACAATCCAAGTTTGTCCAACCTCTCTTTATAGCTAATACATTCCAACTAAAGCTTCACCTTTCTCTCAAGAGGATTGGTGTACAAACAGCTACAGGACGTTGGCGAGACCCCACCTGGACGACATAAGAACACATGCACAGAGGTGTGCCATTCAGCCTATTGAGTCTTTTCCCCATTCAATACAATCATGGCTGAATATAAATGCCTTTTACCCACAAAATCCTCATAACTCTTACATTATTGATG